CAATTATGGTGGATCTTTGATTGACAAAGTGGGTTCATCTTCCATATCTGAAAAAAAGTTGAAAAGAAAACCAAAAAAATATGTGTAAGAACTTTTGCAATTAAAAAAGAAAAATCAGAATTATGGAAAAAAAAAGAACACTAATTGTTCTTTAATGGAAAAAGTTATAAAGAGGAAGAAATAGGAAGAATAGTCATAGAAAAGATGGAAAAAATAAAGAAAATATTAATTAGGGGGCTTTTAACTGTTTGAGCTGATTAGGTGACATTTTTTATACACCCTCACGCCCCAAATGTTGTTTGAAGCCACTTGCTATGCCATATGGTAGACCGAGTGTGTATTTAAATTTACTTATTCAAGTGTAGGGGTGTAATTGGGACTAGGCATAATTTGGGGAGAAAACTAATAATCAGTGTCAAGTTTATGGGCGATTTAAGATATTCTTCCTTAAAAGAACTATGATATATATTAGATAGAGAATGGGATGTGAGTTGGGTATGAGAAAGCGAAGAGAGAGAAGATGAACAAATGAGAGGTATTATTTGGCTTTTGACTATTATTTGCTTACATGGAAAAAAATACACGTGCTAATATATTATTCGTTCATTTGCCATGCAAGTGGCGTTTGGACCTCACACACAAAGTTTGACATACAGAGATGTTTAAAAATTACATTTTGAACGAGTTCAAGTGTCTATCTAGTCACTCCGTAAGTTTATATATTTATTTTACAAAACATGCCAAGTTTAAGGGGCTATATAAGATGGCCTTATGTATATATAGTCATACGAATTATTTGTAATATTTTTATATAATTTTAAATAATTTAAATTATTAATTATTATAATTTATAATAGTTTTTATAGTACGTGAATATATAAATTATATTTCAAAACATTAAAAGATAATATGTCCAAATACACGGCTAAAATTAAGAAATTTAAATTTCACAAAGCAAAAAATATCACATAAATTGGGAAAGATGCATAAGTAATCCCTGTCCTATACACGAATTTCCAACTATACACTTTACCTTTGCGAAATTTTTATTACCCACTAAACTATTATATAGTGTAATAAAAACAAACCTTAAAATTGGACAACCACATTCCTGATGGAGAGTGTTGTCCACGCACTGCCAGCCAGTAATTCTTTTTCTTTTTTCTTCTATTTTTTCTTATTATATTCTAGTTTCATATACATGGTTGCCTGCTAATGTAAAATTATTTTTCGACTTTAGAGCCGGAGAATGTGAATTCGTAAATGGAAATCGTAGTCCGAGCCAGAGCAGTACCGTTGAGGCGTCGTCACCGGTAATGGTGGAAAACTCGTTGTCGGCGGTGATATTAGACTCATCATCGTTGGATCTCAGCCTTGGTGGATCTGGTAATTTATTTAGCAATAGTGTGGGTAGATTTTGTTCTTGAATAATCTGTTTTACGGTTCTCTGGTCGCCGAAGGAATCGACGGAGGTGTGACGCCGGTGAATCATATGTACTATTTGGAAGCTCGCAACGAGGGAGGGTGATTTCTTCATGTAAAAAAAGTTGGAGGAGAATGGCGGATTTTATTGTCGATGTTGGTGAAGATGGCTCCGGTGAGTCGGATTTGTCGTCGGTGAAAAAGAAAAAAGGGACTGGATTTACAGAAAGAACAAAAGAAATGTATTAGTCAAAGTTATAGTAATAATTAATTAAGTCTAAAATAATGATATAATTTTCAATTAAAAGTTTTCATTTGTATAAACTAATCAGTTTTAAACTTAAATTTTGCCTCTCACATGCTTTTAAGAGAGTGAACATACTCTCCTTGCCACGTCATAAATTAAGGGTGTGTTTATTACACTTTATAATAATTTAGAGGTAATAAAAACTCCGTAAAGGTAAAGTATATAGTTGGAAATCCGAATATAAGATATGGATACTTATGCATTTTTCCAATAAATTGTGATAAAAGAAATATAAGTGTCAGGTAAATTGAGCATTAAATTTTGCTTTTAAATCTAACCATAGACTATTTTGACATTATTCACTTAATATTCTTAAAGTATATTGGTTTTTTTTTTCTGGAGAGGGTCTCACCTGGGATAACCTTGCAGTCCTCGTACAATCTCCTGTCGCATCTCCTGAGGAGGAGATAATCAATCTGAGTCTTCGCCACCGAACTTTGGTAAGTAATCAAATGTTCATCCCGCTTCGTAAAACTCGAGTTCGTAATGACTAGATCGAAAGCCTTGGCAAAGTCCAACAGCGAAATGCCCCCTCCGTTCCGCTCCCCGAAACCAAAGCCGCCATGCACCTCATTGTACCCACCTGCAGATGACCCAATATGACCATTGAAATCTCCTCCTATGAATAACCTCTCAGAAGGCGGTATACTACGAACAATCTCATCCAACCCCTCCCAAAAACGCCTCTTAATATCCTCATCCAAACCTGTTTGAGGTGCGTACGCGCTAATGACATTTAAAATTNCTAACGACATTTAAAGTACCCTCACCCACCACCAACTTAATAGTCATTAGTCTATCATTCACCCGCCTGACCTCTACCACGGACTCTCTAAGATGGCTATCTACCAGGATACCCACTCCATTCTTACCCCTCAGGACACCAAAGTACCACAACTTATACCCATCCACGATTTTCGCCCTCGATCCGACCCACCTAGTTTCCTGGACACACACTATATTAATCTTCCTCTTCTGCAGGATTTTCGTCAACTCTATGGATTTACTCGTTAGTGAACCTATGTTCCATGACCTGACTCTCAACCTATAGGCTCCCTTGCCCCCTCTACCTCCCCTTCTACCCGACCCCAGCCCCACACTCTGCCCCACCCGAGGACATGCCATTATTCTATCATCACAGGCTGCAGTCATTACACCTACAACCGTCTTAGAGAAGACTCGCTAGTGCACAACGTACACAAATCAAACTAGAAGGAAACAAGTGGTAACTAGTACCTTAGTTAAAAGGTTTAACTATTGCGAAGTAAAGTAACAGTAATTTAGCTAACACCAAAAGGGAAACGGTAAAACAGGAGGTACCAACTCCCGATAACAAAACTTGTGGCTGATTTGTTGTACTCGATGTATTTGCACGCTCACGCACCACTTCCTACCGCCTTTTATATAATTTTTAAATAATTTAAATTATTAATTATTAAGTGAAGCTGAACTATTATATAGGTTGCGAAATTTTTATTACCCACTAAACTATTATATAGTGTAATAAAAACAAACCTTAAAATTGGACAACCACATTCCTGATGGAGAGTGTTGTCCACGCACTGCCAGCCAGTAATTCTTTTTCTTTTTTCTTCTTCTATTTTTTCTTATTATATTCTAGTTTCATATACATGGTTGCCGGCTAATGTAAAATTATTTTTCGACTTTAGAGCCGAAGAATGTGAATTCGTAAATGGAAATCGTAGTCCGAGCCAGAGCAGTACCGTTGAAGCGTCATCGCCGGTAATGGTGGAAAACTCGTTGTCGGCGGTGATGTTAGACTCATCATCGTTGGATCTCAGTCTTGGTGGATCTGGTAATTTATTTAGCAATAGTGTGGGTAGATTTTGTTCTTGAATAATCTGTTTTACGGTTCTCCGGTCGCCGAAGGAATCGACGGAGGTGTGACGCCGGTGAATCATATGTATTATTTGGAAGCTCGCAACGAGGGAGGGTGATTTCTTCATGTAAAAAAAGTTGGAGGAGAATGGCAGATTTTATTGTCGATGTTGGTGAAGATGGCTCCGGTGAGTCGGATTTGTCGTCGGTGAAAAAGAAAAAAGGGACTGGATTTACAAAAAGAACAAAAAAAATGTATTAATCAAAGTTATAGTAATAATTAATTAAGTCTAAAATAATGATATAATTTTCAATTAAAAGTTTTCATTTGTATAAACTAATCAGTTTTAAACTTAAATTTTGCCTCTCACATGCTTTTAAGAGAGTGAACACACTCTCCTTGCCACGTCATCAATTAAAGGTGCGTTTATTACACTTTATAATAATTTAGGGGTAATAAAAATTCCGCAAAGATAAAGTATACAGTTGAAAATCCGAATATAAAATATGGGTACTTATGCATTTTTTCAATAAATTGTGATAAAAGAAATATAAGTGTCAGGTAAATTGAGCATTAAACTTTGCTTTTAAATCTAACCATAGACTATTTTGACATTATTCACTTAATATTCTTAAAGCATATTGGTTTTTTTTCTACTCAGTTAAGTCTTTAAAATCAGAATAGACTTGCCTTTTGCTTATGTTTAAGAAGAAAAAAAAAAGTGTAACAAATTTTGTTTTTAAGAAAAATGGTGAAAAAGACTCGAAGGCTGAAATCAAGTACTCCATGATGCAAGGAAACCAAAAAATTGCAGAACATAAGATTGTAATATATATTTTTTAAATTACTTTGTGTGGACTCCAAGATATACGAAAAATTGGTTAAAATAGCACGGTATAGCTAGTTTTCGGACATATCATTCAAAAATAATAAGTGTTTACCAAGTCAATAAAAAATAGCCACTATTTTGCTGCAACAGAGATCGGTCCAGCATAATATACTGGAGTTCGGTATACCTGTGTATGAACTTCCAGCATATTATGCTGGATTGGTATACTTTGCTGGCTTCAGTATAATATAGTAGAGACTGGAGCACCAATGCTCCAAACTCCAGTATATTATACTGGAGTACTTTTCCGAATTTTGAACAGTATTTTCATTCAGATTTATTTTTACATAAAACGTGACTAAATTTTGATTACCTTGGCCATTTTTGAATGGCCCCTTGTAAATCTCCCAAAAAAATTGGTCTTCTGATAAATTTTCCCTCAAAATCAGTATATTCTTGGACAACAAGCAAACGTAGTTTTTAGTTGACTAAAAGATAACCGATTCTGGAACCTTCCACACATAGTTCACATTATTAGTCGATCCACATTTTACCAGAACCTTCCAGAGTTCCACTCCACTATATATAATCCTTCCCCTTCCCTTTCCTCCCCCAATTCGAAATTCAACTAAGAAAAACAAAATTTTATCACCACCAATTATATTCGTTTAATTGAAGATGCCGGTCCGACCAACAGGAGGAATGAAACAAGAGTGGGAGCCAGTCGTGCTCCACAAGCCAAAGAAATCACAAGACCTAAGGGATCCAAAGGTTGTAAACCAGGCATTGCGAACCGGAGCACAGGTTCAAACGGTGAAGAAATTCGACGCCGGTTTGAATAAGAAAACGACTGCCGCTTCCGCTGTCGTTAATGTTAGAAAGCTGGATGAGGCGGCGGAACCGGCGGCGCTTGAGAAAGTACCGGTGGAGGTAAGGCAAGCTATACAAAAGGCGAGGATTGAGAAGAAGATGAGCCAAGCTGAGTTGGCGAAACAGATCAATGAACGGCCACAGGTTGTTGCAGAGTATGAGAATGGTAAGGCCGTTCCTAATCAATTGGTGTTGGCCAAAATGGAGAAGATCCTTGGTGTTAAACTTAGAGGTAAAATTCACAAGTGAGCGTTTGTATGAGATTGCCAAGTTCATGGTTGTATTGTTAATAACTTGTGGATTATCCAGGATTTCGTGTTCTGAACTGATTAATCGTCTTGTAACTGTTTAGAAGCTGTGGCTATGTAAAAAAATATGGTGTAATGTGTTCATTTTAGTGAAAAATGGTAGTACTCTCTTTCAATTTTAAGTGGTACTAGTACTGTGATCTATTAAGCATTTTGTAATTGTTTAGAAGTTGTGGCTCTGTAAAGAAATATAAAACCTTCTTAGCTTATTTTAAGTGACTTTTAAGTTAAAATAGTTTAGTTTTTAATTCATAAGTTAAAGGAATTATAGCTTTTAGTTTTTAGCTTGTTTTGGTCATTTTAACTTAAAAACAAATGCTTAAAAGTGTTTTTTTACTCATACTGGAAAATAGCTTAAAAATTATTTTGACTTAAAAGCACTTAAAATAAGCCAATTCAAAAGACACATAGGGTGTGTTTGGTATAACGAAAAATATTTTTTGTGGAAATATTTTTCAAGAAAATATTTTCTTGGAAAACAAGTAGTAATTTTATTTATTTATCAGTATTTGGTACTCAAATTAAGAAAAATGACTTATCAAAAGTATTCATAAATAATTTAGATATAATAAATATGAAGCCATAAACTTTTAAACCAATAACCTTCCGAACCCAAAAATTTTATAAACTTTCGAACCGCTAAACTTTCAAAATCGCGGAATTTCAAACCCGTAAACTTTATAATTTCTAAATCTGTATATTTCAGAACACATAAACTTTCGAATTCATAATTTTGAAAATTGTAAATTTTTGAACTTTTAAACTGATAAATAAAAAAATTAAAACTAAAAAATATATTTAAAAAATATTTTTTTTTTCGGGAGGGGAGGGGAGTAAAACGAAAAAAAAA